GGTGTTACAATGGCAGAAATGTGTGCAGGGAGTGCACATCTTAAAAGAAGTGACATCTTAAAAACAAGAAGCCAGAGAGGTAGGTGGGTTGTAGCAACCCTCTTGAGAGAACTACCAAGGAGTCCAGTGAGAACTACCTTAATCCTTTCTAAGGAAACTTCCTTAGTGACCTAAGGACTTCCCACTAGGCCTCACCTCTTAAAGGTTACATTCCAGCTCCTAATACCAACCATCTCCTGGACCAAGTCTCCAACACTGGGAGCCTTAGGGAACAAACCACATCCAAACCACACATGTGCCTACAGCAATAAGAATCGAAATCACTTGCTCTTTTCCAAGTTGCTCACTGGAATCATTTTAGAATGGTGATTCCAGTGCCTGGGCCCCATTCCAGATGAATTAAATAAAAATCTCTGATGGGTAGGAGTCAAGCATCTCTTTTTTTCCTTTTCTTAATCTCTCCATGTGGTTCTAATATGTGGAAAGCTTTTTGAGAATCAGTAGTCTAATTAAAATTATTTCTGCATGGCAATAAAAATTGTTTATTTTACACTAAATGGATATTTTCTGTACCCAGCAGTATTCTCTTTATGTCTTCATTTGGAAAAACATAAAATGTAAATTTAGCAAAATGAAATTATATGTATTGAGAGTAAAGATTTAGAGAATCTACTAAGATAAATATTTATGTGTGTAGTATTAATGCTTATGATTTCAGGATGAATTGTAAGTTTTCCTTCCAAGCTAGTTAACCAGAAATCGGGCTTTTTTCAGCAAGATTCATTTAGTCAGTGATTTGAGTTTTCAGTTATGACCTAAACAAAATATTAAGAGAATATTATTCCAGGGAATATATTTATTAGACATACACATTGCATCCTTTTGGCCTGGGAAAGAAGAGTGTGTTTATAGAGTCATGCATCATGATTGAAATAGTAGATGGTAATGTGAGTATTCCAGTTGAGAAGAATGGGATTTTGAAATTAAGTTCCAGTAGCTTATAGAATTCCATGGCCAACATAGTAAATGATCATGTTGTTTTGAACTCAGCTGGGTAATTCAACAGAAACAATTTAAATAAACCCTCTCTGGGGATGAGAATTTAGCTCAGTGGTGCCACTGCCTGCCTTGCAAGAGCAAGGTCCTGAGTTCCATTCCTGGTATCAAAAAAATAAAAATAAAATAAAAAAACAAAATAAAAACCCCTTTCTGATCCTTTTTCTAGAGCATAAATAGTCAGTTCTTGATCACCTGTTAGAATAGGGATTGGCAGGCTATGGCCTGTGGGCCAAATTCAGCTCTTTTTCTGTAAATAGTTTTATTGGAAAATAGCCATGTTCATTTGTTAGTTACTGCCTATAGTTGCTTTTAGCTCCCATAGCAGAGTTAAATTGTTGTGACAAAGGTTGTATGCAGAGCCTAAAATACTTATTACCTGAATCTTTGAAGAAAGTTTGTTTGTCCTTGTGTCAGTCTCTTGTGTTATACGTTAGATTATCGTATCACACATTACCTGTGGATGTTCCTAAATAGATCTTTTTAAGCTGAATTTGGTCTTTTATACACAAGTGACTAGAGATAATTCAGTTGAAGGCTTTCAAATAGAGGCTGCAACGGAGGGAGATGGATTTGCCTTGGCACCAAGAACAGTTTGCTCCTACCGTGGAGGACCAGGAGTTTACTCACTTACCTGAAGTGAGTGTCTCTTTGCCTAGCTCATCGTCCATTTCTCCTCAGTCACAGTCATTGCTGGTGGTCCCTCTGTTGGGGGCAGGCAAGTGATAATAGGCAGCTAAGAAACTTGGTCTGTGAGGATCTTCACCACAGATGCAGGAGACAGACTTTTTAAAAATATATTTGGCTAATAAAGGATCTGAATGTGGAAGCTTAAAGATTAGTTGCTTTTGAGCCTCTCATCCTTGTCCAAGTAGAGAGTTTGAGAAGATGTGGAGGGTGAGTGGATAGACGGTATCTGGCTCAGTTCTTTTAGTATGTGGTGTGGCAGAGGGTTAGGGGCTCACCTCAGAGCTAACAGTCATCTCTCCTGGCATACTGAATGCTATGAAGGTCTCGTTCAACTGTTGGTCACTTACTCCTGGAAAAGCAAAACCTACAAATACATTAAGGATTTAGAAATAAAAATATTTTTGGCTTTCTAAGATGATAATTTTCTAACATGGAAAACTGTTAAACAACTTTGTCCTTTGATTGTTCAATTATTTTTGTAGAAAATTTAGGAAGTGCCTGTACATAAAATGTAATAGTGTTTTAGTATACATTACCAACCTGGTCACCAGAGCCATACATTTGGAGTAGAAATTACAGTTTTGAGAAAAATGCCACAGTTAATTCTGTTTTTAAGAGAGGGGCTTAGGATGCTACAATAAATTTTCATTAATAAATGTCAATTAGGTTAAGGAGAGCCTGGAATGAGACATTTCAAGTACTAAAAGAAAACAACCTCCAACCTAGACTGATGTATCCTGCAAAACTTTCTTTCAAAATGGATGGGGAAATAAGATACTTTCATGATAAAGAACACCTGAGAAACTTCATGAATACCAGCACTACAACGAATTTTAAACAATATCCTAGAAAAAGACAATGAAGGTAACAACGTAATGAGTCCCAACAGAGCAAATCAAATAGGCAAGGTAAGAAACTAAAAGGAGAAGGCGAAAAAAAAATAATAAGTTAGTACATATCAGTTATAACCATCAATATCAATGGCCTCAATTCACCAATCAAGAGAAATAGACCGGCAGAATGGATTAAGAAGCAAAATCCAATAATATGTTGTATACAAGAAACGTTTAGTGCAAAAAGAAGCCCATAGACTGAAAGTGAAAGGACAGAAAACTTCATGTAACAGGAGCCCAGAAAAAAACAGGGGTAGCAATCTTACTCACAAAGTTTCAAACCTAAACTGAATGAAAGAGACAAAGAAGGTCACTACATCCTTGTGAAAGGATCAATTCAAGAGAAATAGATAACAAATAATTTATTTTTAATCTATTGAATATGTTAGAAAGCACATATGCTTCTTTTCTCTTCTCTTCTCTTCTTTTTCTTTTTTTTTTTTCTTCCCCTGGTGCTGGGGATTAAACTCAGCACATTGTTCTGGCTAGGCTACTGAGCTAAATCTCGGGCTTTACATTTCATATTTTAAAAATTTATAAATACATTAATTTTTGTCTTTATATGTTGGTCTACCAAAGTGATGAGATATCTTGGTTCTCATTTTCTTTGCTTTTTTTTTGAGTATGTAATCTGTGTATATGAGTAGTATGGAAAGTATTAAGGTCCATCTGTCATTTTCCTCTTTCATCTCTGCCTTCTACAAACTTCCTTTTCTGTCACTACAGCTTGTTTGGTAGGAAATTTGTTAAGACAAATTTTGTTGTTATCAGTATATCTTCATACCTATTTTTTACTGATAATATTAATTTTAAGTAAATTTTATAACTATACTTAAATGGATATTAAATCATTGATATCATTTAGTATCTGGACATATTACAAATTCTCCAACTCCCTTAAAGATATTTGTTTTTTCTCAAATCATACAAATCACAAACATTCCACACATCACTGCACTGTTTTATTATACCAAAGTATATATTGTATTGTAGAAAATATAAATTGTGTGTATGTGTGGGGGGTATGTTTTTACACATATGTGTGCACTATTAAATCAGAAACATGGTCATGAATGTGGTAGGATTTTGCACATTTGGCATATTGATAGTTTCTCTGGCAACCTTATGATTTCTTTAAATTACATGCTTGATTTAATTCATAGTCATTTGTTTGGGAAGAATATTATATATTGGTGTTAAATTCTATCATTATGCTTATAAAAATATAAAAATAAGTATGGGATATAATAAAATAGAAACACAAAAATCTGATCTTAATGTGAACTCTTGCTTTTGGATTTCAAATATATTTCTTTTCTGTGGAAAGTTTTGTTAGAAAATGTAAGTGATACAATCAACAAGCATATGATATTTATCAAATTAATAAAACCAAGGAGTTTATAAATCATAAAATTTTGACAGTTTCTCAACTATAATATGTAACTTTGTTTTATTTGTAATTACATTATTTCAAAAATATGTGAAAATAAAATGAGAAAGAACATAATGTTTGAAGATCATATTAAACTAATGTATTTCGATTATCAGTTTGTGTGGCTTAAGTCTTTATTTCATATCCTTTTTTGCTGTTATATATATGTATATTTGAAATTATTTAGTATCTTCATTTCTTGTTGTCATGTATGTTTGCAGTCTTTAATAAAAAAATGTCAAGTTATTTTTGTTACTGTAGACTCTTTTTGTAATTTACATTCTTCCAGACTTAAATCTCTTATATGAAATCTGAGTATTTATTGTTCGTAATTTAGGCCTAGATCTATACCTGAATGGCTTTTCTTTTCAACCTTATTACTTATTAAATAAATCTATGCTAAGAGAATGTTGATTTTCATTTTCCTAAGGGACCTTAGTTAAGCATGGTGGCAAGTGACTGCTCCTAGTGCTCTGGGAGACTGAGGCAGGAGAATCACAAGTTGGAGCCTTGCCCTTAGCAACTTAGATCTTGTTTCAAAATAAGAAATAAAAAGGGCAGAGGGTGTAACTCAGTGCAAAGGCCCTGGCTTTAGTCTCCAGTATTGCCAAAAGAAGCAAGCAAGCCCATAGACCTGTACTGGTTTTAATTTTCTTGACTGCAATAGCTCCAAGTGCTGTCAGTAATAAGACCCTGGGAATTTTGCTTTTCTAGTGTGATGATGTGTGGAGGTAGTGGAGTTAATGAAAGCAAGTTGAATTGTTCCCCAGAATAAATAAGTTAATAAAGAAGTCATTAATAATTCATATTCTTGTGATTTTTTTTTAAGCACTTTAAAGTTTCACTTTAAGGGGGTCGTATATCATAAACACAGCTAAGTTTACTCCTGTTCCTTTACTAACTCTGATCCCTTTTTTTTTAAAAAATAGATCAGCGACTATCAGTTTGACGAGATGAGTAACAGCCACCCTCTTCGCCCCTTTACTGCAGTTGGGGAAATTGATCATGTGCATATTTTATCTGAACATATTGGTGCCTTGTTGATTGGAGAAGAATATGGCGATGTCACGTTTGTTGTGGAGAAGAAACGTTTTCCTGCCCACCGGGTAATTTTAGCAGCCAGGTGCCAGTATTTTAGGTAAGTGTGTCATATTTTTGAAGATTCAAGCAACTTGTGCAAAACATTGGTATTTTCAACTGTATGAAAAATATGTAACAAAGAACAAAGACAAATACAGTAATCTTTCAATTCAACATCTGTTAGAATTTTATCTTTGTAGAGTTCTTGTTTTTTCTTTAGACGTCATCTTAGAATTAAGGTGCTAGAAAGTTTCTCAGACCAAACAGTACCAATCTACTGTTTTTAAAGTGCTGCAGAATATGTGACAGGCTGAGTTTTTGTTACCCTTACCTTCTCACAGTCAGTGATTAATATGATTTATATTGCTTCACTAGCAGATAGGCTTTTTTGTGTGTAGGTAAACTGACCTTCCAACCTGCTAATGGACATAGGTGGCTTTTGGGTTCAGATTGCTTAGGTCTGGGACTTGTTAGGTTGATCTGAGACATGTAGTGTGATACCCCATATTAAAAGAAGTATTGACTAAGTTTCATAGTTATGTTAGAATTAAGACTAAACAAAATATGTAATGTAAAAATCCCACTTATAGACACTGTTACTCAGACCCTTAATTTCCAGTTTAAAATATTAAACTGATCTCTTAATTACTTTACATTTTACCTAATACTAGGTAAAGGGGAATCATCACTGAACTATTGGCTGAGTGATAATTTATCACTGGTAATGATTCTTTTTTGATTTATAAGGATAAAGATGTTTCATAGAGCTATAGATTTACCTGGAGCAGTTGATATCTAAAAGTGAAGATGCCTGTCTGTGCCTTAGAAAAAGTTTCATTTGCTTTCTTTTGGGGGAAGGTTAATCTCAACTTAAAAATTTGTATTTATTTAAAAATTTTTATTATCAGTAAATGTTTGTAGTACATAATGATTACATTCTTCATGGGAAGTTGGTACATGTACGTAACACATCTTACTCTTTTTTCATCCCCTTCCTCTCACCTCCCACCCCCTTGCCACCATCCTTTGGTCTTCCCTTTTGCAAAGCATCTAATTCCTCTTATCTGTAGTTTTTTTTCCCCTTTGATTTATTTATACTCTGGGCTTCTCATATAAAAGAGACCATACATTATTTAACCTTCTGTGTGTCTGATTTATTTAACTTAATATTGTCTTGAAGAGCATCCATTTTCCTTCAAATGACTCAAGTTTAGTCTTTATGTTGAATAGTGTTTCATTGTATACAAATACCACATTTTCTTCATTCATCTGTTGATGGACAAATAGGATACTTCTAAAATTTAGCTGTTATGACTTGTACTGTTATAAACACAAGAATGCATGTATCACAGTAACATGATGTCTTTAACGCTTTCGGGAAGATATTTAGAAGAGGAATTTTTGGGTTGAATGGAATTTCTAGTTTAAGTTTTTTGAGTAATCTCCCTGCTGATTTCCATAGTGGTTGTACTAGTTTACATTCTCAACAACAATGTAGAAGAGTTCATTTTCCCAGCAACCTTGCCAGCATTTATTTTTTGATTTCTTGATGATAGCCATTCTTTATGAAGTAAGATGGAATCTCAGTGTGTTTTGTTTTGTTTTGGTTTGGTTTGGTTTCTTGAGACAGGGTCTCACTATGTAATTGAGACCCAGAACTCACTATGTAGTCCAGGCTGATCTTGAACTCACAGTGATACTCCTGCCTCAGCCTCCCAAGTGCTGGGATTACAGGCATGTGTCACCATGCCCGGCCTCTCAGTGTTGTTTTAATTTGGATTTTTCTAGTGGTCAGTGATATTGAGTATTTTTTCTTGAATTTATTGGCTGTCTGTACTTCTTCTGAGAAGTATCTATTCATTCAGTTGCCTTTTTTTTGGTACCAGGTATCTAACTCAGGTCCTTGCACTTGTCAGGCAGGCAGCGGAACCCCTGAGCTAAATCCCTGGCCTTCAGTTGCCCATTTTTTGATTGGGTCTTTTTATTTTGAGTTTTTGACATATTCTAGGTATTAGTTCTTTGAGGAGCAACTGGCAAAATTTTTCCCATTGTGCTGTGAAGAAGCTTTTTATTTTGCTAGACTCTCATTTGATGATTTTGATGCTGTTTTTGTGTAATTAGTGTTGTGTTAAAAAAAAGTCCTTATCTACACTTATATCTTCAGGAGTTTCACCTATTTTAACTAGCAGATTGTTTTTATATTTAGTTCTTTGATCCTTTTGATTTTAGTGTAATACATGGTGAGAGATGTAGGTCTAGGTTCAATCTTCTGCGTACAGATAGACAGTTTCCCATCACAGTTTGTTAAAGAAGGCTCTAATTTCTCTAGCAAATGTTTTTGGCCCTTTTTCAAAGATTAGATATTTGAATATACCTGAGGTTGTTTCTGCATCTTTGTTCTGTTCCATTGATTACATGTCAGTAGTGATCAGTATATTCTTTAAAGAAATTCAAATACTTTTAGAAATTTGAAGATCTTATTGAGTGAATGGAATATACTCCCCTCACTTATTGACTTGTTCTTGTGGATATTGAACCTTTGTAACATTTGATAGTTCAGTCGGCTAAACTCAGAGCCATTTTGAATACTTTGTTAGATTCTCATTGCCAACACTTTTCACAAGCAAAGAAAAGTTGAAAAGTTAACTGTCAGTAATCAGAAGCCTAAGTACTGTCAGAAAAGGCTGTCAATTCCCAAATAAGGAAAAGCTTACTGTTTAAGAGCAATGTTTTATAGTAAACATTGAACTTCCTCACCTGCTAGTACTGGGAAAAAGCCTAGACCAGTAGTTGTGAACCTACAGCACATGTGCCCCAGCAGGCTGTTTTTATCATTGAAAGTGCTAAAAGGTTCACCATCACTGGCATAGACATATATTTCCAGGAAGTACCTATTGATCTTCATTGATCTTTCTAATGGCTACTTAGAATGTGTGTGCCACTTTTTCTAACATGTTCCTATTTATGGACATTTTTTCCTAACAGTAAAATTACTGCATTGCAGTGTATGCACATTTTAGATTTGAATAAATATTACTAAGTTACTTTCCAAAAACAGGGACCCATTTATATATACTGTTTCTCAAAGCAGTACATAAAAGAAACTATTTTCTCATTGTTTTTGCAGTGGTGGGTGTTAATGGCTTTTTAATTTCTGACAATCGTGACAGAATGGCATCTGTTTGGATTTTTTAAAATCTGATTATATCTCTTCCTGTAGTTTTACTTTACATACTGCCTATTGACCTTTAACATTTTTATATTGACTTCTTTGTTCCTCTCAAAAGACCACTTTCTAACTTCTATTTAATCTTGAGCTCTCAAGGTAGCTTATTACTTCAATTGTTTATGGAAGTAATTCAGAATGGTTTTAAAATCATTCCTCTTGCTTTCTTTAGAGAAGTATTTAAAATGATCACTTTGCATTTCTTCACCTGAACTTTTGTGCCATTAAGCAAATTTGTTTGTATAATGTTGATAAGTCATTTCATATATGTTGTAGCAAATCCTGTTTGATGTTTTCCTCCTGTGCTTATTCTGTGATATGCAGAGCATTACTGTATGGTGGAATGCGAGAGTCTCAGCCTGAAGCAGAAATCCCTCTCCAGGACACCACTGCTGAAGCATTCGCAATGCTTCTCAGATACATCTATACTGGGCGGGCAACCCTGACAGATGAGAAGGAGGAGGTGCTGCTGGACTTTCTGAGTCTGGCTCATAAATATGGATTTCCAGAGCTGGAGGATTCTACTTCTGAGTATCTCTGCACCATCCTTAACATCCAGAATGTCTGTATGACTTTTGATGTTGCCAGTCTCTACTCCCTTCCCAAGTTAACTTGCATGTGCTGCATGTTCATGGACAGAAACGCTCAAGAGGTGCTCTCAAGTGAAGGTTTCCTCTCCCTTTCCAAGGTGTGTCATTTGCTGGAAGTCATTTATGGGCATGCATTTTTTTTTTATACATTGTATAGTGGCAGTACAGTGATGGAGTGAGATTTTTTTAAAGATCACTCCTATCAAAGAAGTTAATGGTCTCACCACTTGAATATGGCTGCTGTTACTCTAGATCGTATAAGAGAGAAACTGGTTCTGTTTCCATTTAAGGTTCTTCAGATAAGTTTTATGTTCAGAAGATACTGTGCTGCTGGCTGGTTTTCTATATGATTATAGTGAAACAGGGTCCTTTGTGATAGTGCATATTATTTTTTGAAATTGTATTTCTCTGACTGCAACTAAATTCTTTATAGAAAGAGGGAAAATTCGCAAAGGAGATATGTCATTGATTTTTGAAGTCACTGCTTTTTTTGCTGATTTAAAATTCGCTATTATAAGTAGAATTAAGCTCTTTTAGCTCAAATTTCTAAATTTTGGTTGGTGGGTCTCCTTTGTTTTTGTGTGTTTGTTTTTTTTTTTGTGTGTGTGTGTTCCACCTGTGACCTGGGTGTGTCTAAATGAAAAAATCTTTTGAAAAGTCCTGTATTTTGGTTTAAGGGTAAACCATAATTTTTATTATCCTACTTAGTTTTTAAAGGCAAAGATCTTTGAATTTGCATCAGTGTTGATGGAAGTCCATCTGGAGAGCTGAGAACCAAAAATATGGTAGTTCAGCAAAAGATTTTGAATTTTAAATGCCAAATATATCTTACTGACTTACAAGTGTACACTCTTTTAAAGAATCTGTATGCATTTGTAGTTCTTCATTTGTCACTTTTCTTTTTGCAATTTTAAAAAAGATGGATATAAATGTATTGGAAAGGCTAGCTGTTTTATGTAGTAGTAGAGTATTCCAGTCAGGAAAGAAAGGTGCTACTGCCTTTCTTATTTATCACACAGCCACAACAGTGAAGAGATTTCATGACACAAAGCCTAAGGAAAGAAGAGGATTAAAAGAATTGATTGCTTGTAATCCCAACACTCTGGAAGGCTGAGACAGGAGGATCACAAGTTTAGGGCTCAGCCTTAGCAAATTAGTCACTTAGTGAGGCCCTGTGCAAAAAATAAAAATGTCTGAGGAGGGAGGTAGTTTATTGTGGAGGCCCTAGGCTGAAAAAAAAAAAATTACCTACATAATTTTTCTCTGAAGTTTTGTAGACTGATCCTGAACATACTTGGACTCTATCATAACTGGATTTTTCCTTTTTATCCTTTCAGACAGCACTTTTAAACATCGTATTAAGAGATTCATTTGCAGCTCCTGAAAAAGATATTTTCTTAGCTTTGTTAAACTGGTGTAAGCACAATTCAAAGGAAGATCATGCTGAAATCATGCAGGCTGTGCGTTTACCTCTGATGAGCCTCACTGAACTTTTGAACGTTGTGAGGCCTTCAGGACTGTTGTCTCCTGATGCCATTCTGGATGCTATTAAAGTACGATCGGAGAGCCGAGATATGGACCTCAATTATAGAGGCATGCTCAGTAAGTACCTGTTAATCTTCAACTCACTGAGAAGTTTTGCTTGCACATTATGCCATTCCCACCTACAAAACTGTAGCTACAAAACGATAGTGCAGTTATACATGATGGGCTATGAACATAGAACTACTTCCTGTGCCGTAGTTTTCTCCTGTTAGTTTTTCCTGAGATTGACTAGCCATTACAGACCTTGCCAACAATGTCTTTTGTTGTCATTCCTGGACTGATTTCTCCAGCTGCTCCTCAGGATGTCATAAGACACTTTGCTGAAAAGTTGCTTCTCATTCTGTGTCTTATCCTGTCTTCCTCCCATCGAAGAAGCACTGAATACATTCTCTATACTTATTTCAACTCTATATATTAGTAGTAATTAAAATATGTGTAACAATAACAAACACTACTGTAGCATTTTCAACACTTATGTGGTGATATTTCTTATTTATGAAAATAATAGCAGTTATCACTTATAAAGTACTTAAGTATCAAGAGCAAGCCCTGCATGAATGCTTAGTTCTCAAATGACCTTTTAAGGTAGGTACAGTTTTTAACTACATTTTACCAAGAAGAAAACTGAAGTACAGACAAGTTAGGTAACTTACCCCAGGTCATACAGAAAGATGAGCTTAGTCAAACCTGTGTAGTTCACCTCTGAAGTCTGTAACCACTAACCCATGCTGCATAAGTGTAAAACATAGTCTTTGTCTTTCATTCTTTTAATTTCATTGTGGAAATCGGCCCTAACTCCTGCACACATTTAAATACAACAACATTTATGAGGGTATGTGCTATGACACTTCAGAAGAGAGTGGCTTAAAAGGATTGAAGGAAATTTCATGGAGTTTATGAAATACAAGTGCAATTTGGAAGGCATGGGGCTGGGTGAATTTCAGATGGGAAGATTGGTGAGGTTAATAGACTAGGATTAGAGTATTTGAGAGACTGGGAGAACTTGATTAGAATAGAAAGCTTATGTTTAAAATGATATAATGAATAATAAGATGTGTTTAAGTCTGTTCAAGCCAAATCGTGGGCATCTTTGAAGACTGAAATTTCACTTATGTGCAGTGAGGAACCAATTTGAGAGAAGGGCAGTGGCATGTGTACAGTGGGAGCTTGGAAAGATTGATCTGTGGTGCATTGATTTTGAATAGGGACTCAGGAAGACCAGTGAGGAGGGTATTTAATCTCTGCACAATTAATGCAGCTTTAAATTAGAGTTGTGACAAGAAAATGGAGAATAATGTATATGTAAATGAAATATTATGGAACAATATTGAATCTTGGTGATTCAAGGGATTTAAATTTAGAGATTAAATTTAGGATAAAGTTACCACATTTTCTAAGAAGCCAGAAATCTAAGGAAGGTACAGTACTGCTGGTTAAACCATGATATACACCAAGATGACTGTATATTTTCAGAAATGTTAAAGTTCTTTGAAGGAGATGCTGGATTATTTTTTAATAGATTTATTGAGTCTGAGAGTTTCTGGGACATTTAAGTTCTATCTCATGCTAGTCATTTCTGAGACTTCTTTTCCTTGACCATGGCTTTGGAGATACTTGAAAGACTGATTAAATAGGTGTCCTTAGCTTCTTGCCTGATTCATCTGATCTAGATTGCTTTTCACTGAGCACAGAAGACAAAAGCATGTGGAAATTGTCATAGTGGTCACATTATTTGAAACACTTTTGTTTACTTGGCTTTGATAGTTGAAGGCAGAGATGATCTTTGTAGGTCTTACTGATGTGTTTTTCCTCATTATATAACGCACTCAATAGCATATAACAGATACTTGGTGAGTGAATCAGGAGAGATGTCTAACAGGAAGTGGAAATACATTGCTGGTTGTTGGGCAGTCAAAGCTGCTGATAAGAGATGAAACCTGGGCTAGAATATAGAGAAAGAAGTAAGAAATCAAAGTCTGAGACTTGAAGATGACCAATAGCCAGGGGTCTTTAGAGAAGAACTGGAGGGGCAAACAGACAGCAGAGATAGAGGAGCATGATAAAGACTAATCAGAAAACTAGGGTCAGGTATTTAGCTCAGTGGTGCTGCCTGTCTCGCAAGTGCAAGGGAGGTAAATGGGAATAAGAATTAGAGAAGAGTTTTGGACATACATTGTAAATTGGTGAGTAGTCTGGGCAGAAGCCTGGCTGCACATTGAATTAGGCCATGAATGTTTAAAAAGGCAGTGGATATAATGTGATGGTATACGATTTATGAGTGGAGGTGACAGGCAGTAGAGAGGTAGTGGTAGAAGGGAGCTACAGAGAATAGGTTGGGAGAGTTTTGGAGGTGCTAGTTGAAAGTCAGCCTCTGATAAATTGTGGGAGGGTAAAAGGTAAAGAGGTAAGGAGATGAGTAGTTAAATTTAGACTTTACAAGTCCTCATTGTTATATCTAACTGCTAAACTTAAATAATGATTAAATAACAGGTTGGGCAAGCACAGTGATGCATGCTTATAATCCCAACTACTTGGAAAGCTGAGGCAGGAAGATGACAAAAGTTTGAGGTCAACCTGGGCAATTTATTGAGACCCTGTTGCAAAATCATAAGAAGGTCTGGGAGTAGTTCAGTGCCCTCCCCCAAGTTCCCACCACAGTATGGTGAACAAGACAAACCTGTTTCTGGTTTTTCAAGTATTTGAATAATAAAATCGTAAATAGTATGGATGCTTTCTATCAGGTCCTTAAAATAGATTAAATATTATCCAAACATTATTTTCTTTCATCATATTTTTTTCAGTTAGGAAAAAGGTCCAAAATTTCAGAATTGTTTCTGGGCTGATGATTTAGAAAGATAGGTCTGCTGGTTTTGGAATTATTATCAGCATTTGCTCCCCATCCCTTGTGCATATGGTGCATTTCTTTAGGGATTCCTTATGAAATGTAGAAGATCATATCTTGGAAATAGGAGCATAGACACTAATGCTTTTTCTTTGTATTCTTTAGTATTGGTTTCTAGAAAGTTTCATTCTTACAACTGCATATCCTAAAGATTTCTTTTTACCAAATTAGAGATATTTTAAAACTTTCTTTGAAAGAAAAAAGGATCTAGAGGATATTTTAAGCTTACCAGTGATAATTGGACTTTCTGAAGGTAAATTAGACTAGTTTTTTGCATATAAATGATGGGCATTTATCTATATAGCTGGGAAAAGAAAATTTTTAATGAAATTATTTTTTCCTTAGGATATTTGTTCTACTTGTACCATTCCTTTAATATTCAATTTGATCTTAGCTATGGAGATACTTCTATTTTGAACATTAGTGCTTTTTCTTTAAGGCTGACTTATACTTTGTTTTGTATAACTCAAATTTTAGACTTGGGAAAGATAATTTCTTGTTTCTGCATGTTTATAACAAAGTACTGTATCTCAAAGTCTATCCAAAAATTTTCTTAAGGAAAAGTGTTTTCCAAGGACTGCTAGGTTAAATTATTGGTTAATATGAGAGGGAAATAGGAGAGGGAAAGGGGATAGGAGAGGAGAGGAGAAAGGATCTGTCCTGTTGGCCCCTGTACCTGTGCCTGTAGAGTCCAGTCATCACACTGAAGGAGCCTGGCTACTGTGGTGTTGTAATTGCTATTGTGACATTATAATTGTTGGCTTACTTGCCTAAGCTCCTGTTAGACTGGGCTTTTTGGGAAATGACTGTAATTATGTATTTTTGCCTATGAGTTGTTGTTTTTTTTTTTTCCTTTTTAAGCACCTAGTACAGTGCCTGAACTTAGATTTAGAAAAAAGAAATCTATTCCTTGCTTCTAAACTGGAATTTGAGTCTGTATCACCTATCGCACACAGGCACTAGTAACAATGAATTTTTAGTACTTTTAAAACCTCAAACTTATGTTGCTATTGTGTCTTTTCAGCTATAGTTTGTTGCGATGGAGAAATCCCGTGTTAACTAGGTGGTTCAGTATTGGAAGCTGATCAGATCCCCAAATCCCTGACCAAGGCTATGGTGGCAGGAGTAAAAAAAAACAAGATCTTAATGCATAAATGAGGTCCCAGCATGGTCTGTGCTCTTATCTAGCTGACACGTTGTCTCCTGGAGTTTGCTACTATTTATTGAACACACAGCTTCTTGAAAAGGGTAAGGGGCGGTACAGGGAACAGTGAGGTGGAGAACACTGATGTGAGCTGGGTCCTAGCAACAAGGGAACAAAACATTCTAGCAAGAACAGCTCTAGATTAATGGGATATTTGTTTCTTCCCATGGATTAATTTTGCCTCTGTAGGAGTTTTCTGTATTAGTCATGCTGCCATCCAAGACATCACAGTGTCACAGATCATTGAGACCTCTGCTGTAGCCAGTGATGGAGGGAGTTGTTCCTTTCCTACACACCGACTGCTGGCTCTTCAGGCAGGCCATTGTGGGCTAATGGGCAGACTCAGACTTTTAATATGAAAAGCCAGTTTATGAATTTGTAACTCACTCAGGGTGGTCTCTCTCAGTTTAGAAGTCATCTCTGGGAGCTGGCACAGTGGTACACACCTATAGTCCCAGCATTCTGGCAGCTGTGGCAGGAGGATCGCAAATTTGAGCCCAGCCCAGGCAACTTAGTGACTCAGTGAGGCTGTCTCAAACAATAAAAAAAAAAAAAAAAAAAAGTCTGGGGATGTAGTTCAGTGCCAGTCCCCTGGGCTTTAATACTCCAAGGACTACAAAACAAAACACTTCTCTAATGGCTGTTTCCCTGTGGGGGTATGTAGGGATTATCATCGTGTGCTTATCTCAGTCTCATTAGATGTTAAGCTCCAGAGGGTTGAGTACAATATGGTGGCCAAAACATAAAAGGACACTTAGGACATTAAAAAAAAAGCAGGATGATGGTCCCATTCAGCTTGGTGATCTTGGGAATTTACCTGATGTGAAATCAATGCCTAAAGCTAAAACTATAGTATAGGATGGACCTTGACCTCACAAGAACAGTGCTCTTCCATAGGTTCTTCTGCCTGGATTCTTTTTAGTTGACATTTTGTGGTGTTTGAGTATCATTATTGACATATGTGGGGAAGGAGGCCTGCAAAGAATGGGGGCAGTGGGAAGGGTATGCTAAAGTAGGAGTTAAGGAAATCATCTGTAGTTTCGCAGTTGTTGGGTACTGCTGCAGTATTACAGGAAGGGGGAGGATCCATACATTCTGTACAGAATTGAGGTGAGGAAAAATGACGTAGGTGACAGAACGAGAAAAAAAAAATTCCAGTGGGCAGAGAACTAACTTTGCATCAGGGTGAATGACCAGCTCAACCTGCATGTAATGGAGAGTTTGAAAAAGATAATTAAGAACATAAAACAGTTAAAGGAAAACACAAGATTAGCCCAGTATTACTTAAATTTCACCATTGTGTAGCTGGGGTTGTATCTTCCATTACTCCTCATTTTTTCTTTCTTATAATTGACTTCTTTATACTTAGCTGTAGAGCTTCAAAGCTTAAGTCTTTCTTAACATTTGTAAAATATATTAAAACTTAGAATATAAAGTAAGTTTTGATTGGTGTTTACCCTCGTATTTAATCCCTAAGACATATTTTTTTGAGAGTTCTTTTCCATCAGTAATCGGGCACTACAAATACCTATAGTTTGAAATCTTTATGATTTGAATTTTTTCATGATCACATTTCCTATTAAATTTATCACTTAACAAATAGATTTTGCAAAAATTATCTGTAGTTTTGTTTTTATCCAGTAAGATTCTCACATTCTAGTCACCATGAATTTCTACTTCTGTAAATGTTCTCCATTTTTCAAGTGAAAGATACTCTCAAATGATGAACCTATGAAGAAAGAACAGCTGGAAAAGTTCTCAAGTACTCTTAAGTAAACTTCACAAGACTCAGGCTTATGGTAGAAATTTCATCTGTGTTTTAGACTGTAGTTACAGTTATGTGACACTCTTGTGCTAGTGTGTTATTTCTAGCATACTAAGTTTTAGTGCTGAAGAAGCTCATGTTGAGAGGAAATGTGATACCAGTTTCTGAATGTGATCGCTTAAGTTCGCTCTTTGGCTCATTCTTGATTTGTTGTATCCAAACTAGGGGAGATGGTTCCTTGGTCAGCAGCAATAGACTTGGGCCTCTACATTTTACATCATGCAAGGTGGGAAATATAACTGTATTTTTGCCAAATAGTTAGCATCACTGATAACTGAAAAACACAGATTTGAAGCTCTTGTTTGCTGCTTATGAATGACTTCATCTTAAGGTTGGAGATACCAGGAGGGCAGAGCCTTTCTCAGTCTCATTCACTGAGTCACTCCCAGTGCTTTGAGCAGTACCTGGATGAGTCGTCATAAACACTTGTGACTGAATGAAGGATATATACTACATAGTACTTTAGAATCTGTTATTTGTAGTGTAATTTTAAAGTGATGCTATGAGGTACATTGTTAAGAAGTATTATTTTTAGATGAGAAACTGATTAATAGAGTTCAATTTAAGGGTAGTGAATAATAGAGCCTGAGTCTCAAATCTAGACGTCTTTTCACTTTTAAGTTCAACTCTCCTTATTCCCTTCCCTCCCTCTCTCCCTTCCTTTTCTGTACCAGACTGTTTCTTTCCTCTGATCTTGAGTAATCTAAGCGGGAAGTGGGGGTTAGACAGGAAAAAATTATGGCCGTCCCTTCAGGAAGCCTCACTCTGAGGGAGGTCAGAGAAGATTGTATTATAGATGGGGCCCCTGGAGACAGCTGCCTGGGTTCTTACCTCAGCTGTGCTACTTGCTGGTGTGTGACCTTGGACCAGTGAGTCCATCTTACTTTTCTCTGCCTCTGCTTTTTTCAGCTGTGCAATGGATGGGATAGTAGTGCTGCAGTCAAAGGATTACTGTGAGGAGTAAATCAAAGGAAGTAATAGTTTTGAAGTGCTTAGAACAGTATCTAGCACATAGTATGTATTATATAAGGTTTGTTAAATAAACGTAATGGGATGCTTATCATAAGCTAATAGACCTTAGAAGGATGCCCATCTAGACCCCTTATGCTTCCGGTAGTAAGACATGGAGTATGACTGGATTGTTTTTTCTGGTTATCCCAGTCTTGCCTGTTAATGAAACCCCACTTTGCCCTCCACTTTTCAGCTGCAGTTACTGCCCTCTTGTGGAGTCATTCTGTTTACCTGTCCTTATTAAAAAACATTTTAAACCAATTTTCCAATAAATCTTCGATAATGAATTATTTACTGTCTTTTCTATATGAGCCTGATTATAGCTCATACTTTCCCATCTTCAAATCTCAAGGCCAAAATATAAGTGAAAATTCTGTATTTATTTACAGTCTATACATGTGCAGTTTTCTGATTGTATGCTTTAAAATATGTTTAATAATACAGTTATGGCTGTTTTAAAAGAGTATACCATATGCTTTATAAACATCATCTCATTTATTTCTTAAAAACCTAGGGGATAGACACTTCCCTGTTATGAAATTGAAGTTTAAAGAAGGTAGTTTCCCCCAAGTGCCAACATACCTGGTTAAAGGAGGAGCCGCAGGTTAAAGTGGAACTGCTGAAAGGCTTGTTTCTGCAGCCTCTTGTCTTGCCATGGAGAGGGTCAGTACATGGGGACTGGTTTCAAAGCCGTGAAGCACAATTTCCATAGCAGATTTCAAAGTCCCACGTGTGTTGTGTGCGTAATATCAGATTGGAGGAGGGAAGTAATTTAATAATAACCATAATTTTGATGACAGACTATCTGAATTTTCATTTTAAAAACTCTCAAGTGAGGCAAATGTTTTCTTTTAAATATAGTGTTTTTTTTTTTTTTTTTTTTTTTTTTTTTTTAGCTAGATGAATTGATTGAGCACATCCATGTATAACAGCTGTGCCACATTGGAACCTTTCTTTCTGTGTTGTTTCAGATATCTGACCTGTTTGCTTTGCTTTTATATGTTATCCTCAGTCCATATGGCAGGTACATGTCATCTTACATGCTATTTTTGTCCCATAGACATTAAATTAAAGCTGCTAACAGAATGAACTCTGAAAGCCAAGTTCATCCTAGTACATGGTATTTCTACTACTATAAACTTTTTCTTAACATTTAGTCCCAGGTACATTGTGGCTGTGATTGTGGCATTCAATTTAAAATCTGAATGGTATCTTTTTTTTAAATGTGTGAGACAGGGTCTCTCCGTGTAATTCAGGAAGGCCTTAAACTTACTATGTAGTCCAGGCTGGCCTCAAACTTGAGGCTGTTGTCCTGTGTCAGCCTCCCAAGTGTTGGGATTACAGGCGTGTGTCACCATGCCCAGCTTCTGAATGCTGTCTTAATCCTTGTAGGCATTCCATGTCTTCTATCCCTGTAAACTTTCCTGTGCCATTTTAAAAATAAGTGGACATGCCGAATCAGCTGGAATGCTAGTATTTTATTGTTTTGGAAAAATATAGAATAATTAGATAGGTAACCATTAACCCTGCTCCTTCTATTTTGTGCTTGTAGTACCAGAAGAAAACATTGCAACTATGAAGTATGGAGCCCAGGTTGTAAAAGGGGAGCTGAAATCTGCCCTGTTGGATGGTGATACTCAAAATTATGATTTGGATCATGGATTTTCTCGGCACCCAATTGATGATGATTGCCGTTCAGGCATTGAGATTAAGCTAGGTCAGCCATCCATTATCAATCACATACAGATTCTCCTGTGGGACCGAGACAGCCGGTGAGTCATTAACTGACTTAGAAGCTGACCTATTTGATGGCAGCAACCTTTTTGGTCATCTGCTTTGGTTTTACAGATTTTAATGCTGTATTTCTTTATGATTATACTTCTATTTTTCTTGAAGGTTAGTTTTGTGGGAAGACTTATAGATTGTCTTTTTTAAAAATGACATGTTTTCCCTGTTTATAAAAGTACTATTTTTTTCTTGTGTGTGAAGAATAGAAAGTGAAGAGAACCACATAAAAGAAAATAAAAATTAGTAGTAATCTCACTGTGCATTATTAAACTGTTTATCTAACCATGGTCTCCCCTCACAACCCTAGTATCGGGGATTGAACCCAGGGGTAGGAAAGTGTCTTATCGCTGAGCTATATTTCTGATTCTCTAACTAATATTTGTGCCTGTGTGTACATGAAATTATTTATTTTTTAGTATTGGTACGTGTTTGCAGTGCATAATGGTTATGTTCCTCGTGGGAAATTGGTACATGTACCTAACACATCTTAATTCTTTTTGTTGTTATGGATAGATGTGTGCATGTGGGCACACACACAAAATAAACCTGCACATCATTTTAAAAAATAAAGGTTAGTGGGCTGGGGATGTAGCTCAGTAGCACCATGCCTGCCTGGCAAGTGCGAGTTTCATCCCTAGTTCCACAAATAAAATAAAAGTTAGACATAAAGTAATTTCACTTTTTAATTAATATATTTTAAATGTTCTAACCTTTTAAAAAGATTTCTCTTAAATATTACATTTAATCGTTCTGCTATGCCACCGTGGGTTAATGTTGTTTACTGGATTCCTTACTCTTTTAGATATTATAATAAATTTTTTTGTGGGTAGTTGTGTGTGTCTGTGTTTTTAATAGTGCTGGAGATCAAACCTAGGGCTTTGTACATGCTAGGCTAGCACTCTACCATGAGCTATATCCCAACTCTATAGTAACTTTAAAAATATAGTTTATCCCATGAATTAAGAGAGCCACTGTCTTTTAGTGTATGGATAAATAACACCCTCAAAGCAAATTCATGAAAAAATTTAGTGGATCCTGGTATGGGAAGCTACCCATTTTGTTAGCTTCAGGATTCTGCTTTCTTTCCAGCCACTCCGATAGTTTTATTTATTGTGGCTTCTACAGTTCACCCACGATGGTGGAATACCAGAGCAGTATGGGAGGCCAGGACTGAGCTGTCTCTCTCATTGCTGTTTGTATTAATTTAAACTCCACACACCCAGAAACTGTGTCTTGCTTGTATGTCTTTGGGTATGGGCTCAAGGGGCTTCATAGTAACAGTAATGGTGCCCTGTGAACTTTGCAGAGTAGTGCATTTCTCTTGTTGGCTCCATTGGCCAACACCCAGGCTTTTTAGGCCATTTGAACCACATGTGAGGGAAGAAATGAGTGTATTTTCATGTGCATGGGTATTTTGAGATCCTCAGGTTATAGCTCCCTGTTTTTGTTTTAGTGCTGGGGTTCGAACCCAGGACCTTATACACACTGAGCAAGCACTTTACAACTTAGCTGTATCACTGGCTACTTCTCTGTTTCTGTTTCTTTTCTTTTTTATTTTTTTTTGGTACTGGGGATTGAACTTGGATTCTTGTGCTTGTGAGACAGGTGACAGAACCCCTGAGCTAAATCCCCGGCCCTTCTCTTTCTTTTTTTAAAAAATATATTTCCTAACATGTATCTTGGATGTAATTGACTTTTTCCCTCTGTTACTACTGGCTGGGGATTGAAACCAGAGCCTTCACACTGAGCTACATTCTGGGCCTTTATTTTTTATTTATTTATTTTTTTGTGACAAGGTCTCCTTTTTTTTTTTTGTGGTACTGGGGATCGAACTCAGATCCTTTCGCTTGTGAGGCAGGCCACCGAACCGCTGAGCTAAATCCCCAGCCTGACAAGGTCTCTTTTAAGTCACCAAGTTGCCTAGGCTGGGATTGAATTTAAGATACTCCTGCCTCAGCTTCCCAGAATGCTGAGATTACAGACATCCACCACCATGCCTGGCATAATTTTGTTTAATTAACAAAATGAGTCTAATTCACATATCTCATTTCCAAGACCCTCTGATTAATGACAGTATAATATTTACTTAGCAGTTTCATATTTTTCTGTGGTCGGCACTGTTCTAAAAGCTTATTTCATCTAATAATGCAATTAATATGAAATAACATGTTGGAATATTTGAAACTAAAAGTAGTTTCATTGTTTCCATGATGTTAAATATTTATAGGTCACTTTTTTGTAGTGCCTGTTATATTTATGGTGGACTTAATGTTACCACATAGCCGTTCTTTTCTGACAGAAATTGTTACTCTAAGCAAAAGTGAAAAATTCAGAATCTTAGTCCAAAAAGATTCTGATGTGCTTTAAAATTATATCTTGCATTACTGATAACCCAGAGAGGCTCAGTAAAAGGTTATAACCAGTTTGAGACTGAGTAGTAAAATGAATGAGAGTTGAGGGGACAGCAGAAAATGAGGGGACGACACAAAATAAACTGACCTTTTCTGGTCACAACTGTGGTTGCAGACTGACATTTATGGTCACCTAAATCTTCCAAGATTGTTCCTGTTGATATTACAGTACCAGTAATAACTGCATCTCAAATTTAAATCTGGCTTATGACAAGGAAATGTAGATGTATTAAGTATGGGACCAGCATGTAATTGTCCAGGGTAGCTGACTAGGGAGGATGATAGGCTGTCTTCATTACTGCCAGGTTATTAGCTGGCAAGTTTTAAGCTGTACCCAAAGGAAACATGCATTATCTCTTCATCGATGTCATTTTTCTGTGGGCTGCTTGAATGTATAGGATGGCAGGAGAATGAGAGGTAGGAGGAGATAAACTAGCCTTCGTGGGGAGTCACCTAGGTTGGCTTTCCTCCTGAAAAGGGAGGGCTGAGCACCCAGGCCAGACACTTAAGGGGGAGAACACACACCTCCTGCTTCTGTTCTGTACTTCTGTTTCTTTTTATTGAGTTTATTGGTACAATCTAGGTATACAGTACAGTTACATTCATTATTGAGATCCTGTACCTTTACATGGTTCTCATTTTTTCCCCTTGTCTCTGCCCTCCCTTCATTCACCCCTCCTCCCCTCCCCATCTACAAACACTTTATTTCCATTTTTTTCAATTTCTTATATTTTTTTCCTCTCCCTTATTACCTTTTCCCCACCCTTCCCACTTTCCCTACACCTTTATTCCTTTACTTCCTATTTCACATTATTAATTATCTCATTAGGATCGTGTGTACTATTATAGTTTTTCACACCAGAGAAATTATTTGGTATTTCAGTTAAAGAAATCTCTGTATGAACTTTAAAAATAGGGAATCCTAACATAAAACTAAAAAGGAAAGTAAAAGAGAAAAGTCAATGATGTAAGATTAAAATAATCCTTAATTCTGAAGATGAAAATGGTCTCTGAACATATTTAAATTGCTTCTTGCTCTTGTAGTCTTACTTATTCTTTTTTTTCATTATTTAGAGAATATTAGTTTCTGTAATCAAACCCACATAGATATGACCTTACATATTTAATACAGTGTGTTACTCCTGTACAAATGGAAAAAAAATTAACATTTCTAGACCAATATGGCTGTCAATTTCTGTACAATGCCAACTCAACACAGTAAATTGGAATAACTTTTCCCACAGTTGACAGCAGTTAAAGTTTCCAAAAATTCAAATTATATATATATATGTATATATAGTCATATTTATATGAAAAGACCAATATGTTGTATACAAGAAACACGCCTAGTGCAAAAAGAAGCCCATAGACTGAAAGTGAAAGGATGGAAAACAATTCTCCATGTGACAGGAACCCAGAAAAAACGGGTAGCAATCTTATTTGCAGACAAATTAAATTTCAAACAAAAACTGATTCTAGTATTATTGATGTAGGATGGTACTGCATGATACCTCTGTGAATGTAAAATATCTTGTACCTGCTTTATGATATGTAGTAGGGACCATGCTTTATCAGAGCTATTTTTAATGATATTACTCTAGAATGTTCTCTTTCCAGATGATGATTAAGATACTAATAAAAAAAATGGTGCCAGGTACCACAATAGCAACAGAACTTTCCTATTTTCTGGGTATTATTCTGTTCTTTCTTTCTTTTATTTGTTTTTTTTAATGGAATGTGCTGAATGTCTATAATTTTGTTCAGATGACTGCAGAACCTAGAAAAGCTGTTGGTGCTACTGATGCATAACATACTGTTTTTATGCCTTTTAATGTTTAATTTAGCTTTGGATTGTTTGTATTGAAAAATGCTATTTTTTCTGCCTTTTTTGTTTATAGATCTTACTCCTATTTTATCGAAGTGTCAATGGACGAACTTGATTGGATCAGAGTGATAGATCATTCACACTATCTGTGTCGGTCTTGGCAAAAGTTGTATTTTCCAGCCCGTGTATGCAGGTTAGTTCTCATGGTTAATAAGTGATTTTCATTCTTATTTAACAATAGTTGAACTTTGAGAAGGAGATAGCAATCTTGTAGAAGAAGAGTTTTTCAGGGTATCAACTACAAGCACAACTCATGGGGAAGAGACTTAAGGAAAATGATGTGCCTCAATATTTAGAACTCAGTGGGACTATTCTGCGTGTTTTATACCACATTTATGTGTAGAAATGTGAAGAATAAGGGAATAGGGGACATTAGAGAAGCTGATACATCTTTTTATGTGCTTTACATGGAAAGTAGAATTATTGTTAGTGGCTACATTCTTCCCACGAAAGTCACGAGAAATATTTCTGGAGGCTTTCCAGGCTGTGCCCAGGGCCAGGAGGAGAGGCATTGTGCATGTTCTGGATATTTGTGTCCTTTCTCTAGGTCAGTGACTGTGAGATGGTGTTTGACAAAACAGGTGTTTTGAGTGGGGTGGGAATGTAGCTCGCAGGGATCCATGTTTACATTCTGCCTTTACCCACACTACTTCAGCTTGCACTGTTAATATATTGCAGCCCTAGTTAGGATTTTTTTTTTTTGAAGTATTGAAAAGCTACTGTCCTACTATTTAGTATTCTCTATGTATAAGCCATAATTAACCTTTGTAAAATTCTATACAAATTAATGAATTTGGGAGTGGGGAAAGGTGGTTAAAGGAACCAGAAATTCTGTATTTTTCATTGGAATTGTTCCTACATATTCTTCACCTTCAAGTCAAAGATCAAAGCCAGGCAGTGGTTGGTTCATTTAGTCAGGCATGGCAGGAAGAGAAAGCAAAGGACACTGTGGGTGTCAGCCACAGAGCATGTGAAGCTGGCACCACCACCGCTGCCACTTGTGGCCCGAACTCACTTCCCATGTGACTTAATGGAGCAGATGAGGGTGCCCCACAGCATTTGGTTTCTTGGTTATGAGTTACCCTTACAGCTGTTAAACTCACGGCATAGCAGCAAAGCTAAATTCTTCCAGCACAAGGACTCCACAAAACCTCTTAGGCACTTTTTATAGATAGATACTATGGGATGCGATATTGTTACCCAGGGATCTGCTTGTGTGAAAATGAAGGAAATCAATTTCATTTCCCCAAAGCAGGTCTAAAGTCTCAGGCCTGGCAGTTGCTCTTTTATCTGAACCATTTTGAATGGATTAAAATAAGAAATTGAGTGACGATTCCATATCTCAGAGTGACCTAGGGATAGTTGGAGAGTAACAGAGGTGCCCTGTTGCGGAGGAGGACATCAAATCTGCATTTACTCAGGCTGCTATGGTTTTACAGGTTTAAACAATAAGCAGCATAACAATCAAAGTGGCTGACATGGCCTGGAGGACATTGTGTTTGTATTTAATGTGAACCAATAGGAACATAACTCCTAGACCAAACCACTGTGAATGTGATAACTAGCTGTGTGTGTGCTTTCCCCACCTGGCAACTCCAGGTGTACAGAGGGAAATCTGTGCTGTTAGTCATCATCTCTGCCTTTTGGGAAATACAGTTTTTTATTTATTAATTAGCATTATTTATACTCTTTCCTTATTTTGTCTACCTTGTCTGGCTTTGATTTTGCCGGTGCAGCATTTTTGTGTTTAGAACCTTGCTGTATTCAGGATGCTGGCTTTTGCCTTAGTATATCAGTTCCCAAGTCTGAAAATACTAATCAAAAGTGGTATTAAAGATTAATGCTAGCATTATCATTAATGAAGAAGTCTAGATAGCCAGTTAGTAAGAAAATACCTTATAACCACTTTAAACTGCCTTCATAAACTGCCTTTTGTAATAGGTTAAAATTTTGGTAGTGTTTAAAAATGGATCTAGGTATAGTCTCCATTGATCCAAGAATGTCTTGGTGTTATCTTCACAATCATTTATTGACTACTTAAATAATGTTTTAAGCACACTTATTCCAGGAACTTCACTGGGCAAACACTTTATTTCCTTAGCACATCAGTATTCACTTTGCATTATGTTAATTTGCATGTTTGTATGTCATCTTTGTTCTTCATCATCCTTTGTGTATTTGTCTTGCCTTTGATGCTAGAATTACAAGCTTTTAAAGGCAAGAATTCTAGATTCTAATGTTTTAGTGTGTTGCTTAGTATTTAAACACTGACTTTATATGAAGTAGATACTCTATAAATGTTAGTTTGGTGTTTCTGGTGTCATTGCACTGGCTATGTAATGAGAGATTGATTTAACAGTAGTAATATGTACATATATTTCCTTGGTGCTTTCTTTTTCTCAATTTATTAAGATGAGTGTGAGTACTGGGAGACTCCCTGGAGAGGAAAATGGTTCTGTACTAGGTGCAAAGGTTACTTTCTCGGCTTTTGCTTTTTTAAAAACTGAATTGTGGAATTCATCTTAAAGGATATGACTGCAGTGTTTTGATAAAAGATTCCATCTATTGTATTCACAGTAGAGATTCTTTCTGAATTGGAGAGTGGTAGATTACCATGGCCTCTCTCTGAGTCTATAAATCAGCATTGTGTAGTAGAAAAAATGGGTTATGGAGTTAGAGCTCCTCTCAAATCCTGGTTTTTACCTCCTACTTGCATTGCAGCCACGTTGTGCCTTTCTGAACCCTGTGATCTGTACCTAGAAAGAACAGGAACAATACCCTCTTCATTCACTTCACTGTGAGAGTTGAAGGGCATAACATATTTACAAGTACTAAGCTCAGTCCCTTGTGGAAAGTAGCAGCTCAGTAAATAAGCAGGTTTGATTATTTTTCCTAATTTCTCAGACTCTCAACTGATGCTTGACCTTTAGAGAAAAAGAGCCATTAAGTGCCATTTTCTTTGATGACGGTAGTTCTCACTATGAGCACACTGTTCCTTAACTCAAGAACTAAGTTCTTTTGACAGTTTTCTGTATTGTCTGTAAATTGCAATCCTGAACATGCCTTAAATAATTCTCTTTATATTAATAACCTACCCATTTTTATATGTTTCTAACAGTTATGTAGTTTGGTTTTGGTAAAGCATTTTTTTATTTTGGTAAAATTACAATATAAAAAAATTTTGCCTTTTATTTATCTTGTGCAGCATAATTCAGTCAGCATTCACCTCGGTAAGATAGTAGGTGTTAGCTAATGGCATTAAGGGTACCGCTAGGCTTTAAAGCCAGCATGGTTGTTCCAGCTATGATAGAGAGTTAAAGTGATTTACTGTGTCTTTCTGGACTTCTTATGGGAACAACTCTGTGTAATCAAAAGTTTAGGCCAATCACCTCCCTTAATTCCTAGCTGGAGATGAAGAAAAGTTGCTTGTCAATTTACATATAATTTTTCATATGCCCTCAGACCCATAGTATGTCTTCCACCTTCTTTTTCTCTCCTTTATCTTGATCTTCAAGTGTCATATTGTCTTCTTTGCTATCTGATAAGCTTTCTCCCAATACTTTACAGAAAATATGAGTAAAGAATAGCAATTATTGAGTATCCTGGGTATTTTATAAACCATTTCTAGCTATTTCCCACCATGATGCTATTAATTTGGCAGTCATATAAAACTGTTGAAATTTAAGACGACTTGGTAAAAGGGCTCTATCCCAATCCATTTTGTGTTGCTATAACAAAACAGCTGAGGCTGGATGTTTTATAAAGAAAACAGGTTCTGACTCAGTTGTGGTTGCTGGAAAGTCCAAACAACATTTTGCTGGTATCTGGTAAAGGCCTCTGGCTGTGTCCCGACTTTATGGTAAGAGGAGAAGTGGAAAGGGAAATAGTCATGTGAAGGAGGAGCCAAGCATATGGCATGGCCTCATTTTATAAAAACTTGCTCTCGTGAGAAGTAGCCCAGTCCTCTGTTCCCACAGGACTCATAATCACATCCTGGAATAATGTGAGTTCATTCCAGGGTGTTTCTCCCATGACCTAATCTCCTTCCCCTTGGCCTCACTTGTATGGATCCTGCTTACAGATCTTGTACTGTTACATTGGGTCCCACATTTCAGTTTGGAAATCTTTGAGAGACACAGCCAAATCATTTCCAGTCTGTAGCAGCTTCTGTGACTGGTAGCTGGAATTAAAAATGTAAACTTGGTGCAAAACCTGGGAGCTAAACATAGCAGGACTAAAAGCACCATTCTTGACAACATGCCTGTTGAGAGAGGGAAGAGTAGGAGATGGGTACACACCACAGGGACTGGTGAGAGATTATCAGGGGGTGGGGGGATCATAGCTTACTGAAGACCAAAGTAGAGAGCAGATTGAGAAGGGTGCATCCAGACAGTTTAAAACGTGGCATGGGAAGGATGAGCTTGCTTAACACAAAATTGGTTTCTTCCTTTTGTTTTTAATCATCATAATGGAAATATCTCTCATAAAATGATAACATAGCCTATACTTTAAATACTGATTAAACTTGCCCTGTGGAGCGACTCTACCCAGTTTCTATCAGTTAAACATAAAAATCTGTCCTCCTCTGAACCCCTCACCAATGGAGGTGTTGCCAGTGTAGTTTATGCTTTATAAACACAATCCTATTTTACTTTGAATTTATCCCTGAGTTAGAGCATCTTTGAATACTGGGCATTTGTTCTTATTTATGAAAATATTTTTGTCTTCCATGCATGTTTTCTTCTGGAATGTTTTTTTCTTTTCCGCTTGTGAGAACATCTATCTGTATATATAATGACATTATTTTGTCAACATTATCATTTTGTCTATTATGCGTTGTGCAGTTTGTCATTAGTTTTTTGAGTTTATTGGTACTTTTTACCATAAAGAATTTTACTTTTTAAAAATGTCAAATCTGTTCTGTCTTTTAAAAATAATGATTTATAGTTGCATATCATGTTTAGTAGGAGGGTATTCCTCTAGCTTTAAACAATGAAGTACTTTATTTTTTAGCTTACTACTGTAATAATCTTCATATTAAATACTCAATTCAGCCAGATGTTTTCTGTGTATATTTTCAGGTAGGATTAGGCAGTTGACTAAGACCGTTCATTTAATAATGATTTCTTACCA